CTGTAGTCTCCTGCTTCCTAACTCCTGAATCCAGTTTTGGGAAGTGGCTGGCTTCCGGGGCCAGGCAGTAAGTTTCCTTGACATCTGAGTGGCGGAGGGAGATGTAGTGGCCCCATGGCTTTCTGCCTTGCAGACGATGACCACTGGATCATTGACACGGACTATGACACCTATGCTGTGCAGTACTCCTGCCGCCTCCTGAACCTCGATGGTACCTGCGCTGACAGCTACTCCTTCGTGTTCGCCCGTGACCTGAACGGCTTTTCCCCGGAGGTGCAGAGAATCGTGAGGCAGAGGCAGGAGGAGCTGTGCCTGGCCAGGCAGTACCGGCTGATCGCTCACAATGGTGAGTGCTGTGTGGGAACAGGGCACCGGCTGCTCGCCCTTAAGGGTCCCCGGGTCTGCATGCCCTGAGATGCATTTCATCTGCATGCGAGAGAAGACAGGGCGTCCTGGGAGCCCCCTCTGAGCCCGTCTTCATCCCTCCTGACCAGATCTTTCACTGGCCTTATCATGGGGCCGATGCAGAAGGAGTGGGCAAAAGCCTTTTTCCAAAACCTTGGCACTTTTAATTAAGTAAAACTGCAGGGGACAGACGCTTCCTTTTTATCTGCCGCCTTAGGCTCAGTCTGTGGTCACATGATTTTGCTCCTGGCTGCACTACCCAAAAAACCATTTTGACTAGATTAATATTGTCTGGGGAATTGAGTGGCCCCAGTGAAGAGCTGGGCATTGAATGTGGCATTTGGTGTAAAAACAACTTAAAGAGAGACATCACCATAGCAAGTTCAAAAGAGAGTGATTTCAACAAATGCTCTTTTTCTGATATGGAACTAAATATCCAGTAAGTTGACTAGCTGGTTTTCCTCACTTACGTTTTTTGAGATCCCCTGGAATACCCATTGAATCTTTTTATGGATATTACTCTTGTGTGATCTTGATTTAAAAGCCAGTAATATTCTGGAAGAAAGTGCACATTTTATTTTGAATAGACACTCACTCCCATGGGAAACTGGGTTTCAAAATCCAAACAGGGTAATGCTAAATTGTGGGGGAAGAAAGGGAACAAAACTGAACTTCTCTGTTGGTCATCTAACTAGCTAACCCACACTACACCAAACAGATATGAATGCAGACCAAACAAGTAAATAAATAAGATTTTGATGTTTCACCCAGGGGCAGCCTAAGTGTAGGGCAGGATCTCACCCCAGCCAGGCTCCACACCAAGCCCTTTGCCTGCCTTATCTCACTTAATCCTGGAGACACCTCATGAAGTAGGTATTCTCATTATCCACGTTCTACAAGATGAGAAAACAGAGGCTGAGAAAGATTACGAAGGTTGCCCGAGATCTTCAATAGATAGCTGACTTGGATGCAAACCAAAGTGGTTTTGCGACTCTGAAGCCCCTTGTGGCACCGCCTGGTGACATATGACACAGGACATGGTGAACACTCTATAAAACTGCTAACAGAGTAGCTGAGGTCAGGCTGACTTGGCCCTCACTTCCTGAAACAGGAGGACATACCCACATCCCTGTGAAATGCAGTGAGGCAAATTTAAGACAGGTAAAAAACAGCACTTTGATACAGGAGATCCTATGCTCTGGGGCCCACCCCATCACCCCCAGAGAAATTCAGAGGGTTTCAGAAAGCCTTGAAGATGTTTATGAATTAGAGCCATATCTAGCTATAACCTTACAAGAAGCATTTGAACAAAGCCGAGCCCTAAGGTCACCGAATACTCACTCTCTGCATTTAACACCAGCTCCATATTTCTGTCATTAATATCTTTGTTTTCTACATTTCAGGTTACTGTGATGGCGAATCAGAATGAAATATTTTGTAGCAACACGGAGGGTGTCGTTTCATTAGGAAACTTCCTATTAACTCACTCAGCCTTCAACTCTTAGAGTTTAGTTTGCACCGCTCTCCTCCCCTCCCCTCCCCTCCCTTCCCCTCCCCTCCCCTCCCCTCCCCCACGTAAACATAAAACATTCAGTACAGGTAAAAATATGTGTGGGGATAAGTGAATCTCTTTGCACTCAAATGTCTGTGTTCCCTGGAGTTTTCTAAGGAATCATTTGAGGATTAGGATTCCAGACTTTGATTTATTAAAATATGTATAGTCACCTATTTCCTGTGATTTGGGTTTTTATTTGTGTTCGCATCTGTGTTGAAGTGAGTTCTGCAGGTGGCTGGGTAGGATGCACTTTTTATATACCGGGAGGGGTTCTTCTCTCCCGGCTCTTTATGACCTTTGGCCTGTTCTAGTGCCTAACCTCCATTATTAATGAATGTGGCTTCTCTTAACTGCCTGAAAAAAGGGATTTCCCCATTAACCCAGGAAGGCCTTAACTACTGAGGCCAAAAGAGGTGAGTGTAGGTTAGGCCAGGCCAGTGACCCCAGCCTCAGGCAGCCCCAGGCCCTGGAGGCGGGCAGGGGGGGTGGGCTTACCCCGAGCTGGTCTGAGACGCCCAAGAGGCATGGGTTGGGGTGAGCTCTAAGAAACGCCCCCCCAGCCCTTCATTGTCTCTGGCACCTAATTCACTTCTTATTTCAGCTGTGGGCAAAAGGCTGCAGGAGAAGAGGCCATGGGCTTCCCGGGGGGAATCAGGAGACGGATCATGGCGCCCCTACCTACAGTGTGCGGGAAAGGGGAAGTAGCTGGGTCTGGGGCAGGACACCAGTGTCCCACACCATTAGCAGCACTTGTGAACACTAACGTATAGCTGCATACAAAGCCACGTGCCTCAGTTTCCCAGGAGCTCCTAGGAGCCTCAGTTTATCATCTTAAAAAGGCATCAAGGCTTTGGTACCAGTGTCTTGGTTTTACTTCAAAATTCTGCTCAGATATAATTAGCTGTATGATTTGGGGCTGGTTGTGTAGTTTCTCTGAGCCTCACTCTCCTCTTGTGCAATATGGGGAAACAGTGTCTGCCTGATGGGCTGCAGTGAGGGTTCAGTTAGAGCACTTAGGATGCCAGGCTGACATTTCTGAGATGTGTCGGAAGCAGGGAAGGGCAGCTCTCTCCCGTGTGTGAGGAGAGCTCTGCGTGGGTGCTGGCATATCAGGGGGCCACGGAGGCTCCTGGGGGCCCCAAATCAATGTGCTTTGTTCTCCCACCAGAAAGGGGGAAGGCAGGGGACCGTGCACTGGAAAGCTCTGCCTGTCATTCACATGGAACAGGGGCCATCAGAGCCTGGTCCTTCAGGTGTCACCCCAGAGACCCAGAAGACAGCCACACATCACTTCAAAAATCAGCTTTAATTTACCAAATTTATTAACTAAAGATGAACAAAAGATCCCTGTCCTCTAGTCCTCAAGCTTGTAATAAACCTTACTTAAAAAGCAAGCTGCTCAAGAAACTCCACCAGCAAAGACAACTACTGGCTCTGATGTACTTGGTGACAAAGATTGGTTGAGCACGTCCTATGTGCCAGGCCCTGAGCTACTGTTCCAGCCACTGGCCCAACCTCCAAGTGCTGGCGTAGCCCTGGGTTCTCGCTGGCTCCGGTTTCTTCTCTCTCTCTCTTCCCAGGGACATTTCATAAAGCCATAAATCTGCAAACACTATCTGGTGACTCCCAACGTTGCATATTCAGGCCCACACCCCACATCCCTGCACCCCACTGCCTGCTCTCCATTTGGATCTCACTGGGGTTTCACGTGTAAATGCCCCAAATGAAACTCTGGGTCTTTCTATTTCCCATTCTTCTAGTCTTCCCCATTTTTGTTGCCTGCTCTCCATCCAATCACTGTCAGGAGTCACCCCTGAATCCTCTCTTTCCCTCCTAATCTGCATCCTGTCCATCAATACATCATGTTTGCTCTGCCTTCCCAAAGTATGTCCCAAGATCATTTCTCACAATCCCCCACGATGCCACCCACCTCCAACTTCCCCATCTTCTTTCTCTGCTTCAACAGCCACCTAACTGGTCTCCATCTTTATTCCTGCTCCACAAAGTTCATTCCCTGCACAGCAACCAGTAGAGCAGGTCACTTCAGCATCCACTTGCAAACCTCCAGTGGCTGCCCACTGAACACAGAATAAACTCTCTATGGCAGCCTCCCAGACCCTGTGTAATCCAGCCCTGTAACCTCTCTGGTCTCAACTGATGGTCTCCAGCACAGCACCCCTCTGTCTTGGCATCAAGGACATTGCCCGGCATACAGGAGCCAATAGTTTGCTTTGTTTACACCTCTTCTTTCTGTCCCACAAGTACACAAGGCTCTTTGCACCAGCACCAGCGTCTGCTCCACCTGCAAAGCCCCACTCCCTTGGATTCACATGGCTGGTTCCTTCTTGTGGTTTACCTTTTGCCTCAAATATACCCCTTAGAACGGTCTTCGCAGACCCCTCAACACCCCATCTAAGTTGCCATCACTGTCCCATTTTCTTCACGACGCTAATTCACTCCATAACACTATATTGTCTATTGACTTATGTTTGGTTTTTCGCTGCCCCCACCTAGAAGATAAGTAAGCTCCGTGAGGGCAGGGGCCATGGCTGTCTGGTTCACTGCTGTATTCCCACCACCAAGAACACCGGCCACAGCATGTGCTTAAGAGGCATCTAACAGGCGGATCAACGAAGGGAATCACTCCTGTTCTCACTGTCAAATGTTTGGAGTCATCCGACTTCCTGTCTGACTTCGTGACAAAGCTTCTCCTAAAGGGGTCCATGGCATCCCTTTATAAATGAAAAATAAAGTCACCTTTAATTCCTTGGAAATTAAATCCTTGTTCCTTGGAAATTCCTCAAGCACTCTTGACGTTAATGAATGATCCTGCAGCCTTGCAAATCCAGGGTGGGGAGTTAGAGTGGCCATGACTCTTCAGAGGAAAAATCTGGGTCCTGGACCTGTTCCAAGACTCACTTCAGGAAACCGGCAAGGCGTGGCTTTACGTGTAGGAGATGAGACTGCTGAACAGTTACAAATAAAAATTATTAACCTTAATCATACTACACAATGAAAAAGTTCATACTGAAAAGGAACCCACAGCAAATACTTTTATAAAGGATAGAATTGTTATACTGAATGATCACCCCTCAATGTACTGGTGCTGTAAATGTACATTTGCATAGGTTACATTTTCTTAAAGCAGGTACCCTGGTGCGACCGTCCTGGAAATGAACTCCCTTTGAAAACACACCATGGCTTGCCAGAGAGTGACAAATAGACGCCTACAGAGAAAAACTAACTAGCTGGAAATAACAGACAGATCATTTCTTCTGACAGATGTGTCTGTAAACATGGCTCCCTTTTCTGAGAAGAAGAAGCAGTGAAAAAATTTCCTCCATTCGTTCCTAAACAGTGACATGTTGTAGAGAATGGGGTTGACGGCCGAGTTGGCAAAGGTGAAGGCCACCACCCAGAAGAAGAGGGACGGCCAGATGACCAGGTTTTGCTCGAAGTTCTGGATCAGAATGAGGAGGATGGTGACGATGATGGGGCTCCACATGACGAAGAAGGAGATCATGAGCAGGAACAGGGTGCGGAAGAGCCGGACGTCCTGCTGGGACACACGGAGCTGGTGGCTCTCCGAGGAAGCCAGGGTCGTCGTGAGCCTTCTCCTTGACGCCTTCGTGATCTGCAGGAACACAAAACAGAGCCGGCGCCACAGTTTACGGCAGGACATCGGCAGTGTTGATCCTGGAGGGGCAGAGGAGGCCCAGGAGTTGGAATCTGCCGTTCTCGCTGCACTGGGACTACTTGGCTTTGGGCTTTATGCGGAGAGAGCTCCCTTCTCAGAGGCCTGGCTCGCTGCCCGTGCTTAGGATGCGCAGGTCAGCTGGCCTCCTGAGAAATAAGGCAGATCGTCCGTTTTATAAATAGTGTTGACGAGGGGAAGTGCAAAGCCAGAATGCAATGGTCTAGAAGAGAGATGTGTGAACACAGATTCAGGTGTCATTCAGGACTCCCCTTCCCAGGAAGAAAGGGGAGCTGGCCAGAGCACTGCTAGTGACACGTGTTGAAAAACTGAAACCATTTCCCATTTATGCCCCCAGGTGAGAGGTGACAGCTGGTAGGATAAACACCCTTGTGCCTATCTTTGCACACCTAGATGAGCATATCAGGAGAATAAATTCTCAACAGTGGAACTGAAAGGACCTCTAATATTTTGTACTAATGAGCAGGGTCAGCAGTAGAGCAGAGGGATTGTGGGCAAGGAGGCAACTCTGGTGACATGGGTTCGGAAGGGTGTTCTGGACTCTTCTTTCAGGAGCCCTTGCAGGCACTGCTCTCCGAACCTTCTGCCCAGTCTCTCCTGGTCAGTTAGAGGGTCTTGCTTCAGCATCCATCAGAGAAGCTGGCTACTAATTGGCTGTGGGCAGCCTTGGACATATGGCCCATCAACTGAGGCAGGCTAACCAGATTAAAATAAAGCCCTGCATGATCTCTCACCCCACTGTCCCACGTAAAAACAGTATTTCTGGAACAGACAAATGCTTCATAACATCTCAGAACCAGAGTGTTGCAGCTAGATGGGCCCATGCATGGTTGGAGCAGCACTTCTCAGACTTCACTCTGCCTGTGAGGCATTCAGCACTATTTTATTTAAATGTAGATTCTGATTTTGCATGCCCCGAGGACCACACTTTGAGTAGCCAAGGCCTACTCCACACCTTCATTCTACAGGTGAAGAAACAGGCTCTCGAGAGAGAGAGGGTTTAGCCAAAGTACTTTGAAAACAGGAGCCTTAGAACTGTTCACATCAGAGGGCAAAAGCCCCACAGAAGCTGAGTCCGTGAGAGGGAAGGTGGGGCTTCCCCAGAGGCTCTAAAGACCCCAGTGCTTAGGCTCACACTGCCCCTGGGATACATACAGAGTGCCGCGCTTACGCCTGATTCTAATTTTCCTCTAAGCACAGCCAGTAGGCAGAAGGCCTGCTGTCCCCCATCACCTGCTTAGCTTTAACAGTGCCAAGAGGTGGGCGTGAGGGGGTGAGGATGGGCTGGGGTGGAGGTGGCCGCAGACTGGGGCACAGTTAGCCTGGGATGTGATGGGGCCCTGCACCCACTAGCCTGACATGCTTTGTTCCAGCCTGTGACCTCTGTCCCAGGTAAGAGATCCAATTCCGAATGTCTTGCCACATTCGTGGTGCTTTGCTAACTTGCCTTTGCTTAGTCTGGCCCTGTGTCCTGCTTCTGCTGCAGGAGCAGGCTGCTGGGCACACAGTGAGTGCTTACATGTCTGGAGACTTTAATAGCCAAAACTCTTTTTTTTGTTTTGTTTTGCGGTACGCGGGCCTCTCACTGTTGTGGCTTCTCCCGTTGTGGAGCACAGGCTCCGGATGCGCAGGCTCAGTGGCCATGGCTCACGGGCCCAGCCGCTCCGCGGCATGTGGGATCTTCCCAGACCGGGGCACGAGCCCGTGTCCCCTGCATCAGCAGGCGGACTCTCAACCACTGCGCCACCAGGGAAGCCCCAAAACTCTTATCGTTCGTTAGCTCTGCCCAGGCCTTCCTAGGACCATTCCCCTAAAATTATTGAATCTCAAGAGATGAAGCAATTAGAAAGTAATCAGAATCATTCAAATTTGGGGCAAGATTAACTCCAAGACCCAAATATGGCTTCAAATATTCTCTTTAGAATACTTCTAATTAGCTAATTAAAGGGTAGCCATTTAATTTTCCTGTGATTAAATACAACTGTTTCTGTGTAGTAGTTTTGGTCCACTTCTAGGTGACGGTGACCCAGGCAACAGATGCTGAATGAACAGAACCCCTTCCTTCCCACCCACTCCCCGCCAAGAACAACAGGAATCAGGATCACCGAGCTTCAAGAAAGGCTCCCTGTGTGCCAGCCACTGTACTATGCATCTGTTTCATAAATTGTCACATTTAATCTTCAAAACTGCTCGTTGGATTCGTGCTATTATTATCTTCGCTCCAGAGATGAGGAAATTGAATCTCAGGAAATTTGAGTAGCTTGTTGAAGGTCACTCTACTAATGATGAATGGTCAAAGCCCCCATCTGTGAAACTCCAGCTCAGGTGAGCTGAAGATGAGCGACATCATAAAAGGCTCCAGCCCTCTTCCTGGAGTTGCCTTCCACTTCCGCTCCCCTGCTCTGCAGCGGGGTGACTGCTCAGACCCATAGGCTAAAAGCCACACTGGTGCATCTAAGCTGGAAGGTGCTGTGTAGAATCAAAGTTAGAATATGTGTTCAGGTGAAAGCTGTTGGATGACTGGCCGGGGAGGGTAACAGCTGCCCAGGGGCAGGTGGGTGGGGCTGCAGGGGAAACGGCACCACTTCTGAGGAGGCTAAGTGCAGCCTGGTGGGCACATGAGGACGATTCCCACAGCAGCCTCATTGCTAGTGCTGTCCACATTGCTCTGCCAAGAAGGATGGAGTCCCTGGTACGGTGTCTTTTAGATTTTTTTGTTTTGTTTTGGGGGTTCTTTGGGCGTTTTTTTGGCCTCACCGTGCAGCTTGCGGGATCTTCATTCCCCGACCAGGGCTTGAACCCCGGGCCCTTGGCAGTGAAAGTCGGGAGTCAACCACTGGATCGCCAGGGAGTTCTCTAGATATTTTTTGAATGAATGATGTGGATGGAAGTTCACACTTATTGAGCACTTACTATGTGCCAAATCCTTGTACATATCACTTGGTTTATCTCTTTAAATTCTCCCAACGATTCTGTGACATATGTACTTTGATGATCTCCATTTTATTTTGCTTTATTTTAATTTAATTTTTATTGGAATATAGTTGATTTACAATGTTGTGTTAGTTTCAGGTGTGTAGCAAAGCGAATCAGTTATGCATATACATATATCCACTCTTTTTTAGATTCTTTTCCCATATAGGCCATTGCAGAGTATTGACTAGAGTTCCCAGTGCTATACAGTAGGTCCTTATTAGTTATCTACTTTATATATAGTAGTGTGTGTATGTCAACCCCAATCTTCCAATTTATCCCTCTTTCCATTTACCCCCTGGTAACCATAATTTTGTTTTCTACAACTGTAACTCTATTTCTGTTTTGTAGATAAGTGATGATCCCCATTTTACAGAGGAGGAAACTGAGGCTCAAAGAGGTTAAGGAAATTGCCCAATAGTACCCAACTAAGCAGTCGCAGAGCTGGGCTTCAAACCTTGGCAGTCTGACTCCAGTCCATGCTTAAACTAATTCCTTCCCACCCTCTAATATCTCTGTCAGTGGAAATCCTTCCATCCAGCCTGTAACTCCAAGCTCTAATGCCAGGGACTCCGGGAGGGCATCCTGGTTCATCTGCCGTTGGCATCCTGCAGCGCTTTGTTTCAGGTACTCACGTGGCACTTGCCACATATTCTACGGTAGATGTTGAAGCATCATTCTTACCTCTGAGTCCCACCAGACTGCAGCTCCCTGGGGCTGGGCAGCCCTGTGGCTGCTGTGGTCCAGGGCTCTGGCAAGTGTCTGACAATGACCGTGAGCAGACAGCAAAACAACTGACTCACGGGCCAAGTGAACATGTGCTTGGCTCTTTTTTTAGCACTGACTGATGCTACCCTATTTCCTTCCATCCGCAGTTCCCACAGCTTTGAGGGAGTGAGAAGGAAAATGGGCCCATTATAATAAAATGCAGCTCCTCCCTGCTCCCTTCCCCACATTAGATGACAAGACTAGTCGACTTTTGTTCAGGGTTTAAAGTGTCTCTGGCACTACACTGAATGCTTGGTGTGCTTTTAGATCAAATTAAAAGCTCGATAAACTTTTGAGGATTAACTTTAATCCTTAAAACAAGCCTGTGGGGTATGCTCTCATTTTGGGGACAAGAGACGGAGGCCCTGAGAGGTGAAGTGACTTGCTCAAGGCCTCACGGTCAAGTGGGGGAAGGGTACCTCAGAGGGTACGCTCTTCACCGCCAGTCACACCACTGCCACTACCAGGACAGAGGACAGAGCTCCCGGGGACGTGGCCCACGGCCACCACCATCAGGGTCACTGGCACTCCATAAAATGTAAATGCTTCGGCACACCTTCAGACACTCTGATTCTGTGGGTCTGAGTGGGCCTAGGAGTCCGCACTTTTTATAAACTCCCCAGGTTATTCTCAATCACTAAAGTATGAGAACTACTCATCTAGGACAACAGGCTTGGAGTTTCTCCCCCAGTCCTTTGAAAAGTCACTTTTAAATTGCCTGAGACTCTCTGCCTTCACATTCACATGAGCATCTGAAGGCTACGAGCAAAGCTTCTCCCCACCCCACATCCTTCTGTCACCCCACGCCACCAGACCACAGCCGCGGACAGGTGGATGTGGGGAGAGGTCGCTCCCACTGACCCAGCTCCAGCCCCTGGGGTTGGGTCTCCTCTGAGGGCTGCTTGGTCAATCCACAACCTCCCTATTAGAATCATCAGACAACAGACTCCATCCTTCCAGAGGACCAACCTCCCCTTCCATCACCGGCAAGCAGGCCCCAAAGCTGGGGAATGAGATCCAGGCATGGAGAAAGGAAGGGCCACGTGTTCACTACCCAGGACCTTCACATTTAGTCGAAAGGGATTTCACTTCCCAGTTAAGCCCTGAGATAGGTGAAGGTTTTCCAACTTCAGGCCAGACACTCACTCTGTCATTCAACACATATTTATTGAGCCCTTACTATGTGGCCAACACTCCTACAGGTGCCGGATGCACAGCAAGAAACAAGGTAGCACTGCCCACCCCGCACTTCCATTCTAGTGTTTGGGTGGTGAGGGGCCTGGGGGTGAAGGGAGAGGGGGACCAAGAAACCTATAAGCTGTCACAAAGCCTGCCATGGTGCTGGTTACTGGGTGACAATATAAACCAAGCCCCACCAGCAAGCATGGTCAGCCTGATCAAAGGCACTGAGGAGTGGCCTGGAGACTATTACCCTGGGAAACTGTTGATAGGAAAAAGCCACTGGAGATGTAGAGCACGCCTGAGTCAGGAGGAAAGAGGAAGCAGGGAAGGCAGAGGGTGGAAAAGGCCATTGCCATGAGCAACTGAAGCAGCCCCAGAAAAAAAGAGCCCCGGTGAAGCCTCCTCTCAGCGCTCACCCAGGGCAGAGACAGCAACCAGGGTAGGGGCTTGAGAATGGCGGTTCCCAAAGGAGAGTCTGTGGAGCACCAGCCCAGAGAGAGCTCTGTGCGGAAAAGGCGGTCTGCAGTCAGGTTTAGCAATGCTGCCTACTCTATTCCAGAGATGGAGAGTCTCAAAGTTCATGAGCATAATAAAGGCTCTGAGAAGGCCTGCAGCAAAGAAACCCATTTAACTTTAATTAACCCAGCATTTTCCAAACTCCTTTGATCATAGAACCCTTTTCGAACATCTAACATCCCATGGAGTTCTAGAGAACGCTTTAGGGGACACTGCTTGTGAGGAATAAAAGTCAGGGTGATTTGAAAGAGACATTTCTCAGGCCTAGAGATGGTTACCTGAGTTAGAGGCAGCAGTGACAGGTGAGAGGTAGGGCTGGTGGGAAAAGGGTCGGTGGTGTAGTTATCTGTCCTATGGTTTCAAATGATTTGCTTATTGTGTCTCTATGAATATAGCTAATTAATATTGATGTTCAATTGATTTTACAGAGTTTTGGTCTTGATAGAAAAAGCTCAGCAGAAAGGCTGATTCAGGGTCTCTGAGTTATGAGTATCTTCAGAGGAAGAGAGACGCAAGCTAGGCGGCCCCACCCAGGCTCTCCACCTGGCAGCTTACCAGCTTCCAAGTTACAAACAGGAGCAGAGTGAGAACAAATGTAATAGTCCTCCTGGGATATGGGCAATAGTCAGTTTTGCCAGTGGGGTGGAAAGTAATCTTCTGAAAGTCTTATATTTGCATTAATGTTGCAATTTTCAAAATCACATTAGATCTCTTTCATATTAAAGTCTAACAGTTTGTTCAAAGCATTATCATATCTGCAATTCTCATTTTATTGTGTTAAATGATTCACTGAGGCCCATTTGGCTCCAGAGGGAACTGAGGCCCACATTCATTAAGCGACTTGCCTAAGGTCACACAGTAATAAAGCTTGGACTAGAATCCAGGGCTCGTGACTCTTTGTCCAGTGGTTTTCCCACTGTCCCAAAGGAGAAGGTGCTGTTGGCCCTTTCAGTGTGATCAAAGTTTGTGTCTTACTCATTCAATGAGTGTTTATTAAGCCCCTACAATGAATAAGCCAGGCTCTGTTTTAGGCACAGGACTATGGCAGTAAACAAAACAAAGTCTCTGCCTTCAGGGAGCTTGCATTCTAGTGGGCAAGACAGATGATATGCAAGTAAATACACACAAATGGAATTTGACAGGGGTTGGAAGTGCTTTGAAGAGAAATAAATCAGGATTAGGGACTAGAGAATGATGGGGAATCTCTCTGGAGAAGAGCCTTTTGAGCAGAGACCTAAATTAAGTGGGGGAGTGGCCCATGCAGAAGTCTGGGGGGGAGAGATCCAGGAGAGGAAATGGCAGGTGCAAAGGCCCTGAGGCAGCAGTGTGTTGGCGTGTGTGAGAAAAAGCCCCAAGGACACGAGGGAGGGGGAGAAGATGAGGCGAGAGGGGCAGGCAGGGGACAGATCACACAGGGGCTTAAGGTGAGGGTTTTAGCTTTTCCTCCATCTGTGAGGGAAGTGATGGGATCTAAATTATATCATTGACTCACTGCTCAGAGCACCATTTCATAACTGTGAGTCACGACAGACACTCGATTCATCCAGGAGCTGTCCTGAGGTCTGGGATGGGAAGAACGGAAGGCTGGCCGTGAGTTTATAGGCAAAGTGTCTGGAACTGCAGTTAGAGGCAGATGGATAAGAGGACACATCAGGGCTCGAGGATTCCTAGGATGTTTCCAGGTGGGCCCTGGCCCGAGGAAAAGAATATCCTTTCCATAGAATAAGTCAGTCCTTCCTCAGAAGGTGGCTGAGAACCATGAGGCACGAGTGAAAAGGGACAGATCAGAACCCTCTTGCCTCTAAGGGACGCAGGAGTGGGACTGCCCAAGCAGGAGAGGTCGGATGCCACAGCCAGCTTCTGCCCAGCCCTCATCTAGCCAGCCAGCTCTGCTCTAGGGCCAGTCCCATGTTCTTGCGGTGCTCCAAATCTGGGCCCTGCTGTTTATTCTCTCAAAAATCTCAGCAGTACCTCTTCCCAGCATGCTGTGAGAGGATTAGAGGAACAGTCTCGCCTAACAAATAACAACAGCTGTAATTTATTCATCCCCTGCTACAGGCAGGCATGACACTCGCCATAGTCCCACCAGGAGTATCTCCTACGTATCTCACAAAAATCTTAAACCGTTGGATCATTATTTTGCAGATGAGGGAACAGAGGTTCAGAGAAGGTAAGTAACTTGCCAAGGCTACACAGCAAGTAAGGGGCAGATTCAGGACTCAAAGGCAGGTTATTAGAATAACCCCTTCTGGTCTCCGTGTTTTTTATGGCCCTTTGCTTTTTCTCCCTTTTCCCTCCTTTTTCTCTTTTAACAATTTGCAAAGTGTTTTCAAACTAAGCCTCAGTATCACTCTTTAATGTGTTTCAGGGTTTCACTGCATTGAATAGCAGCACCTTTGTCTGTCTCCCCCTTCCCTTTCTTGTGTTAAAGCTCCTTCCAGATAGAGAATGTGACTTGCTTACTCTTGACCAATCTCTACTCCCCAACAACACTTTGCACAGAGCAAATTCTTAACAAGTGTCTGAGGAATTAAAATGTTGGGACTCTGGAACCAGACTGCCTGGGTTTAAGTCCTGATACTGCTGCTTATGAGCTGTGTGCCCTTTCATAAGTTACTTAACCTCTCTGTGCCTTGGTTTCCTCATCTGTAATTCTGGTTAGGATTAAATGAATTCCTGACACATTGTAAACACCATATAAATATTTTTAAAATAATTTTTTAAAAATTCATTCTCCATTTCTCTTCCTTTTTCCCTCCCTTCTTTTCTTTTAACATAATGATAGTAACTAACGCTTACATAGCATTTACACATGCCAGGCTCCCACTGCAAGAACTTTACAGACCTCAGCTCCAGGCCCGAATCTGCCTCATACCCTTGAACATGCCCCAGGTGGGACGTCACTTAAACAGGTCACAAGTCAACTGGTGGGGAAGAGTCTAGGGACTAACATGGGGGGGCTGTCTCACACAGGATCCAGAGATTAGAAGACTCGGATGGAGGTTGGCCTGGCTTTGGGTTCTAAAGCATCTAAGAAGGTCACAGATCTTTAGCTACAACAAAAGGGCCATAACAGTGGCCAGACAGCAAGCAGGACCTAAGGGCCCCACTTCAACCTGCTTGTTCGCCATATGACGCCCATGACGCCCCCGCTCACCACAACTAGCAGATTATATGCTATAAAACCAAGATTCAACAACGGTGAACCTCGGAGAGGACTCAAGCGTTTCGCATTAAATCTTCTGAAATGAGCATGAAGACATGTAGATGCCATCTGCCTGGGCCAGCACCTCGCATGCAAATATGCTGCCTCAAGGGGTAAGAAAGAGGCTGGCAAGTCTTTTTTATGTCCCTGTACATAGTCACATTGAAGATAGAGATCATTTCCTGTTGCAGTGCACTTTTACAAGGCACATGCCCTGGGAGTGGGGGTAGCAATTAGAGGGATAGAGGAGGGGCTTCTCGTATGCTCTGTTTCTCGTTCTGTTTCTGGGAGCTGTTTCTGGGAGTGTGGTCAATTTGTGAGCTGTGCGTGTATGCTGGGTGTGCTTTTCTGTATTTATACTGTACTTCAATACAAGTTTTTAAAAGTGTACATTCTTTATCACCACACTGCTGTTTGTGATGGGGAAACAATGGACACAACCCAAAAGCCCATAAAATAAATTACGTCACAACTATATGATGGAGAACCATGAAGCCATTAGAAATAATGAGGCAGAGATATAGGAACCGATATGGAAGGATGTTATGATACAGTGCTAATCAAAAAAAGGAAGTTACAAAGCAGATAGCATTATCTCAAATCTAAAAAAAAAACATTGGGTTGAACCATGGTAATAGTTGATATTTTATAGTTGACCATTTTATATGGTTCATTATATATATATATACACACACACATATATATACGTATATGTGTTTATATGTACACAGATATACATACACATACTCACATTGCATAGAAATATGTATATATATATAAATTTATAAGAAAAATAACCTGAAAAAATGTACTTTAAATTGTCAACAGTGGGGGTAAACCAGATTTTTAGTATCTGTGTTACACATTTCTATGTCTTTAATTTTTTATAATGAGCTTGTATTACTTTAGTGATCAGCAAAAACAAATGATAATAATAAAGTCACATAGATATAACTTTTTAAAAAAGACCAAACTTTTGTCCCTCAGCGTTGCAGAGGGATGGATCTGGGCAGTGAACCAGGATTGGGCTGGTGCGAATTCTAAGGTAAATTTTGACCTGGAAATGCTAAGGTTCATCTGAAATACCCCAAGCCTGAGTGAAGTTCAGCCACAGCGCTTGAAGCAAACATACCTGTAAAATTTTGGAGTAACTGATCACAATAAGCAGTCCTGGTACCAAGAAGTTCAAAGTAACAAATGACACATCCCAGGAGATTTCTCCGGCAATGCTGGGCCAAACCAGTGTGCAAATCGGAATTTCCTAGTTACAAAAAGGAAGAGAAGGTCATTTAATGCTGGCTTCTTATTTGGCCTTTAGCTCAGCCCCAGGTGGGGTTACCTGGCACTGTTACAATGTTGTGTTACCCTGTTGTGTTTTGCTGTTACACAACTGGTATGACAAGAAACCCCCGACTCCCTTCCATTGCCCACACAACCCCACTTACAAGTCATTCCCCTCTGACCCTCAGAATCACCATAATTATTATTCCCATTCTCCAAGGGAGGCACGTGGGCCTCAGGGCCCCAGGCTGGGAAGACCCAGAGTCAGTTCCCAGGCATGGCTCCAGGTCCAGTGCTCTTTCCACTTCCCTGGGCTGAGCTGCAAAGAGCCCTTGAGCCTTCTCTTCCAAGACCTTCATTTTACAGGGGAAAAATCTGACCCCTGTAAGTTTACATAGATTGGAAGTGATGTGCTACGTGCAAACACATAAAACCTGGAGTGAGGTGTGCCCCTCCTCCAGGGGAGAATGCAACAGCCCCAGAGTGAAGGTGCAGCCACGGTAATCAGGATGTAAAACCACTGGATGGGGCAGAAGAGCGTGCAGGTTTGTGACCTTGCCGCTGTCACTATGTTGCGTTGAATTCAAATGTTTGACACTAACTACAAACCCCAAAACATGTTCCCAGACCTCACTGGATAGTTACTAAGCTGCTGCAACAATTTTTTCCAATGAACAAATAGGTCAATGACAAGAGATCTATTTATCCTCCCAAACACAGATCTCCAGCGCCTGCTTGACTATAGGACAAAACTCTTTAGGAAACAAGAGCCCTACACACTTCTGGACACATAGAACAGACTTTTAAAGAGCATATTCTATGTAAAAAGACCACATTATTGATTTCTGGTGGACAAGGCATCTTAACCACGGTCCAGAAGTAGTATCATTATTCATAGCATCAGTCATTTATTCATTCATTTAACCAATATTTATTGAATGCTATACTAAGCAAAGGCAAAGAATTTTTATCATTTCCCAACGTGTATCATAATTGCATGGTCAAACTCAAAATAGAGTCAAATAATCACTCCTTTTCCTATTCAGTATCTAAAATTCTCTGAGCATTTATTCTTTGCCAGGAAGCACTTCACATACATTATCTCATGGAATGTTCATCACAACCTTATTGAAATGCATAGTTATTTTTCCCATCACACAGAGGAGGAAGCTAAAGCTTAGAAATTTCCTCCTAAAATAATAGTCTAAAACCCTAAAGATGTAGTCCTTTTTAATCATCTCCAAAGAGCTGAGTGGTTATAGAGGGTATCGCGGAACCTACCAAAACCGCTAAGGCAAGTCAGACAGGGAAGAATGCTTTAGTTATATTTGTACCCTGAGAGGGTGCTGGGGGTGAGAATGTTGCTTCCTTTTCCTGTTTTGTTTAGACAGTTTACAAATGCACTGGACATTCTAAAAACTTGTTCCTTCATCCCCACCCCCACTGTGCACACCGGATGGAATAAAGTTTATTAGAGCTTTCTACATTTTGGTGATTGGAAAGAAATTTGTGTCTCTCAAGGATCTTCTGAATATTGACAGTGCAGTGACCACAGCTCTTTGGGAAATCCAGGTAGCCTATGCTTGTACTCAGACCTCCACCCACCAGGGACCCCTTATTCCAATGCATTGGGTGGGCAACACAGATCAGCAGAAATGTTGAAGCAGAAAACAGAAGAAACAGATTCCAGCCCTGAGTGTGACTTAGTCTCTAATTCTTTTTTTTTTTTTTTTTTTTTGCAGTACGCGGGCCTCTCACTGTTGTGGCCTCTCCCATTGCGGAGCACAGGCTCCGGATGCGCAGGCTCAGCGGCCATGGCTCATGGGCCCAGCCGCTCCACGGCATGTGGGATCTTCCTGGACCGGGGCACGAACCCGTGTCCTCTGCATCGGCAGGCGGACTCTCAACCACTGCGCCACCAGGGAAGCCCAGTCTCTAATTCTTATGCTTGTGATGGGAAAATGTACAGGGAGGGAGGGCAGAGAAAACAGATGACCCCAGAAGCATTTCTTAAAACCCCCAAGAACTCCCAACTCTTTCTGAAAACCCTCTCCAGAATGTCTGCCTAACCCTCTCCAGGCTTAACAAGATTTTGTCGAAGACTGTGTAATGATAGAGCAAGGTGTTCTCGCTACATTAGGGACAAAAATATAGATCCTTAAATAATCTGCCTGCATTAGCCTCATATTGTTGAAGAAAATGTGTAGGTGCGAATGAAAAGGTATCTATCCACACACTCACACACACAGGCATAGAAAAGACTAGAAAGATACACTCCAGAAAATTAAGTGTCGGGCTTCCCTGGTGGAGCAGTGATTAAAATCCACCTGCCAATGCAGGGAACACAGGTTCAAGCCCTGGTCTGGGAAGATCCCACATGCCGAGGAGCAACTAAGCCCGTGCACCACAACTACCGAGCCTGCGCTCTAGAGCCCGCGAGCCACAACTACTGAAGCCCATGTGCCACAACTACTGAAGCCCATGCACCACAACTACTGAAGCCCATGCGCCACAACTACTGAAGCCCATGCACCTAGAGCCCGTGCTCTGCAACAAGAGAAGCCACTGCAATGAGAAGCCTGCACACCGCGACAAAGTGTAGCCCCCGCTCACCGCAACTAGAGAAAGCCTGCGTGCAGCAATGAAGACCCAACACAGGCAAAAATAAATAAATAAAAATAAATAAATTTATTAAAAAAAATAAAAAGGAAATTTGAAAACCAAAAGTGCTGGGCCTGCTTTGTTACTGAACTACAGAAGCAGAGCTGGCTGAGCCGGTAACAGTGTCCTTTAATCTATTTGTCCAACCACTCGCTGACTCAAGCCATGGTGACTAAGCCACTGTGAGGCTACAGTGAGGATGGGAAAGGAGGCTATGCTACAGTCAGGGAGGGAAAAAAGCACTAGGAAACTTCAGTACAGAGCGGCAAGCCCAGAGAGCTATAGGTGATGGGATTGTGGAGTCACCGGGAAAGCGGCATCCAGGAGGGGTTGTGTCAGCTGTGCGTGGAAGGATGGGGCTTCAGTCAAGGGAATGAGGAAGCTGGAACTCAGTGTCTGGACCAGAAAGGATGTAGATGGGAGGCCATGTACAATGGTGTGAAGTGTGGTTGGCCGTGACTGGTATTCCCATCCCAAGCTCCATCTCTCCCCCGCAATCTCACCCATTTCCATGGTGGCTTTTTGCAGATGCTGTTGCAACCTCCTCTTTCCAGCCAGTCTTCTCCTGAACCCCAGACTGGCCCCACTGCCCTGAGTGCATCTCTGTAGGATGCCTCACAGGCACTTCTAGCCTCCAGTGTCCCACCCCAAAGATTCCACCTCCTGCATCATCAACTCCGGGCACGGAGCCGCCATTTTCCAAGCTGTCAGATACCTGAGTGCTGGCCTTCCACCTTCTTCTTCCCTCTCCACTCAGAGGGAACTCCTAGGTTCTGCCTTAATAGCTATCCAACCCACCACAAGCTCATTCTCACTGCTCCCCCTCCCCCCACAGACCACAGACCAGGCCATCTCTCACCTCCTAAGTCCCAACGCCCTAAAGGGTGTGTAACTGGCCCTTCTCTAGTTGACCCCCGCCAACCCTTCCAGCACCATCTCTTGCCAACATTGTGGGCTATCTCCTCTGCCTGTGATGTCCCTCCAGTCCCCCACGTCACTCATTCTTTTCCAGGAAGACTTTCCTGTGGATGGGGGACATCTATCTACAGGCACTGCTCAAGTGCTGACCCCTCCCCGCACTGGCTGACTCATTTGCAAATGCCACCTGATTCTAGCTGTTTCCAGTCAGCTTCTCTAATGACTCTTCCTGGAATACTCTTGGGAACACCTTTGTAACTAGTTCTCCCTGCCCCACCTCTTCAAACAAAATGGAAGATTTCAAAGTCATTTTAAGGAACTAGGAATCCTAGTTATATATCTCCTCTCCTATCAGCTTCCCAGCAGAGAAGAAAGAACATACCCATGGCAAGAGATAGACTTACTTTTCTATATCTCAAAAGTATCCTCTAATATTAACAAATGTGAGGAAACTTGTTTGTCTCCTCAGCCAATCCACATTCAGTAGGGACACGACGGCATTATTGGCCTGGTATTAAACTGGGGCAGGGCAGAGCAGTGGGACCAAGTGCTCCTCCGGAAGTGTGAACTCATGGGAGAGGCACCAGGAGGAACAGACAGACCCCAGCTAACTTCTGCTTCCATCCTTTGCCCATTCTGTAACTACAGGCATCTTCTCCTTCAGAAAATAAACAAGAGAACACCAACTCGTGGGGTTACTGTGGGGTTACCGAACTGTGCAGGGTCTGGGACCAGAATCTGCATGATGCACAGGCCCCTCCTTGAAGAGAAGGATGGTGTCTTGGTCGTGTGGCTCACGGCGGGGGCAGGAGGGAGGGGTGCTCAGTAAGTGTTTGCAGAATCAATGGGCAGCACACTCTGACCAGGGTGGACAGTCCTCCCCACCTGCCAATGAGGGTCACGCCCCACCAGGGCCACAGCATACACAGGCAGGAATCCTGCTGGCAAAGGCTGAGCTGACCCGGTTGAGATGTCTAAGTTGCTAGGATGTGTCCACCCTCTTAAAATGGCAGTCTTTTATTACCGCAATCAGAAGAATTGTACTGTTTGAAAAATGTTTAAAATATTTATAACCAAAGATAAGGAAACTAATAATAGCTGGCAACTCTTGAGCGCTTAACTGTGTGTGTGCCAGGTGTTAGCTCATTTACTGAACTTCCGTCCCCACAGTAATCCTGTAAGGTTAATACTGTTATTGTGCCCATTTGGCAAATGAGGAAAGTGAGGTATAGAGAGATGAGACCACTTGCCTCTGGCTCACAGCTCCTAAATGGCAGAGATGGGATTCACTCAGAACATCTGACTCCAAAGCCTGCATTCCTAATACCAAATTATTTAGCATTTTCTAGCCTGTCTATCATTTCATCTAAGTTTGAGAGAGTCTGGTCACCTTGACTGCTTGGTACTCACTGCCCAAATGGACAAAGGTAATCGTGTTCTTGGGGGGTTTTTTGTGGGGGGAGCTCAGATAAACAGAAAACTCTGAGAGGCACTGTTTCCCGGGCCGGTGCTCCTTGAGGGGAGGGAGCCAGCATGCGCTTGGGTTTAGTTAGTTCTCTCAGCTGGTGGTTTGGGTAGGAAAATGTCCCCCCATCCAAAACCTCCATATTTAGTGTCCAAGTAGGAGCGGGCAGGCAGAATCTACAGCCAGGAAGCTGGGAGTAGAGGATTGAGAAAACAAGCATTTGCTAATTTTAAATGTGAGTCTCAATTCAGTCTAGACTAGATCCTTCTCTGTCTCTTTTTTTTCAATGGCCCCACCCCTGCCCCCCGGCTATTTCTCAGTCTTTTCAACTTATTTCTTTAACTGCAGAGCCTCACTTGGCCCTTTATAGGCCCACCTATAAAGTAAGATGTTTCCTACATATTCAGGTCATGGCCCTTGAGGAACCAGGAGTTTTCTGTTTGTTGGCTTACTGGCAGGTGTGGATATGTGTGTGTTGGGGGCTGAGGGGCAGGTAGGGGAAAAGACAGAGGATGGAGAGCTGGAAAGGACTGTCCCAGTTTTTCCTTACAAGCTCCCCGGCCCCACCTCTACTAATTTCAGGGAACAGGGGTCCTGCAGCCAGCTCACCTGGCCCCTCATCTTCTGAGATGCTGTGTGGACCCATTCTCTCCCAGTGGCTTTCCCCATATCCCTCTCCAAAGGCTCTTAAGACCAAGGAGGTGTTTCTGCATTGAAACAAGAGGGGTCTGTGAGCCCAGCCCCAAGGGGGACTGAGGGAAGGCCACCACAACACAGACCTCCACGGAAGCACCTTACGGTAAAACTGTAGTCATTCTGGAAGTGCTGTGTAGGGCTCCAACCTCCACAGATGCCCTACCTGGGGTAAAATACAGAGTGGCAAGGCACGGAAGGTCCTGCATCTCTGCGAAGGCCTTCTCTCTCAAACAACCCCCATGTCCACGTCAGCAAGAAGTTTTAGTCTGGGTTTTTGGCTGGGAGGTGACAATAGCCTCATTTTTTAGTGTTATTTTCCAGTTAAGAGTGTACCTAAAACAGTTGTAAAAGGGGGAGGCACAAAGATACCTGTCTGGAAACATAAGATATCCTTAAGGTATGTTCTATGCGTTTTAATTCCTTGAGTTCTGTGAAATCCCTCAAGTCTGTGAAAAATACAGAAACACTGTAACTCAGTGAGAGAATAACTTAAAAAAATCAAAAGACATGGCAGAATCCCAGCCCCCCAGAGACTTTTTGGTTTGATTTGTGTTAAAAACAATATATATATATATATATATATATATATATATATATATATATATATA